TTGAAATTAAGCTGTTTTAGAAGTGCTATATTTAGATAGTGCAAAAGGCAGCAGGAATGTTCATTTAGGTATAGACTTAAATTTCTGATTCTTATTGTAAATAAGTTTAACTGGATTTATTCATTAGAGAGTTGAAGAACGTTGCGAGAATTGAAGTTTTAGCCAGTTTGGTTAAAATCTAAATTAGGATTAAAATAAATTTAAGACATTATTTTTATCTGTGTCGTTTTTTTGTGTGGCTAAGGATTAATTGATAAGGAGAATGAAATTTTTTAAAATAGTGTTATCATGTTATTTTCATTTGTCTACAGTCTGAAAGATAATTTAACACGAACTTAGCAGATTCCTAGCTTCGTCGATAAAAATTCAAAATTTATCGAGTCATTGCTTTTGAAATAAATTTACAAGGGCCCTCTTGTTTTTATCCGATGAATTCAAAAGTAGAACAGTATATGTGATAAGCTGTATTGTGATGTAATCTTTTATCTTTCAATCATTACACCCAAAGAGATAAATTACTTAAATGAAAACCGAATCATAACTTTTATGCCAGATTAATTTTTAAGACCTAGTCTTCTTTGCTAATATATACTGTAACTAGACCTACTTGAGCGTTTGTTTAACGATTATGTCGCTCAAACTAGAAGATGAATACAACAGGTTAAGGGTGTAAAAAATCCTTTTATTGAACACATTTATTTACAGACAGCACGCACTTGTGTGCTTACATTGTCACCAGCCACTCGTGGTAAAAAACTTCAAAATAATACAACAAACTAAATTTGAACTTAAACTAGTAACTCAGGACTACGTAATTTAATTTAACCTAGCAGGTTTAATCAGAAACCTACACCGCGCGATACTAATTTCGGCGAAAAGAATACGAAGCCGATATTCAAAATTCAAACAGCTTGTAGCGATAGCAACGTGCGTATTTAACAGCGAAAACACTCTCTGACTAACCTTTTCACTACTTCAGTTTAATTATACTCTCGTTCCCCCTAACTCCTTTGCATTCTGGCAGGGAGACGCGAGGGAAACGAGAAAGGAGAGAAAAGGTTAACAAAATAACTACTAGTAAAAATAATATATTTCACACATTTGTATATTTCTTTCTTTCACTTCTTGCAGCAGCGGTTAATAATTATCTATCTTTTCTATAAGTTTATTTATATTACGCATAGAAATAATGCATTGTGTTTAACCATTGTAATTTCAACCTTTATTTCGCTTTTAAAAGGTTAGGTTAGGTTAGTTGAATATGGTAAAGCACACAGAAATTATCGCCCGATGTGGAAGGATATCTTCATAGAGTACTTTCTAAGAAAAAATGGCTTGCAACCACGTTACACTTCGGAAAAACCACGAAAACATGCATGCAGCCAACACTTGTTGAACACCAGTGTTTAAAGTTCTTAAATATTCATCCATTGGTAGGCCGCTTTTAAGAAATATTTTGGAAAAGAAACAAAACTCGCAAGCCAAAAAAAAAAAAAAAAAAAAAAAAGCATTTTTACAGTAAAGAAGGCAATGTGAATTTCGTTTAATATCAGTTGAATTTGTCCTATTCATGAAAAATATTTCTATACGAACAATACTTCCGAAAAAAAAAATGCGGAGTTGATGCCAAAAAAAACTATAAAAGTTCTTATGATTATTCTTTATGTATCCAAAATACAAATTTTAAATATTTTACTAGCTTAAAAGTTCCTAGTTGTTTCTAATCATAAATCTTCGTATCTAGCCATGGCATTTGCATAGAATGATTAGCCTTTTTCAAAAGGCCAATGCCCATTTTGGAAGTTTTATGGAATTGTCATTTCTGTTTCGGCACCTCTTTTAACCATACATATAAAATTCAAAGAACTTTTTCTCGAAGTATTAATTCATTTTTTAATGCTAGAAATTGCTAGTAATTATTTATTTTAACGCAATTGTCAATAACATTATTATTAAAAACTGCCTTTTTGCATATGCTTTTGAGAATGGATCTAACTTAAAATGCTATAGTGAAACGAAATTGGAATTTTTCCATGACATGAAATTCATGTAATTTTGATGTGACACGAACAAAAATCTGAAAATTCGAGCATTTTAGGTGTTGGTTATTTTTACTCAGGTATTGAGTTAAATTTTGTTGCAAATCATAAGTGAATTTCTTCATGTTATAAATGTATTGCTTACAATATCAGGCTTGTAGCTCAGACATTAGCACATTACCATATAATAGTTCAAACCAAATTAGCTATGTGCAAACGGACCCTTGTTGGAAATAATGTGATATTAAATTAATTTAAAAAACAGCCGTCGAACATTTTCTTAAAATTTCAATCTATTTATGCTCTTTGCGTGAATCTTCTTGCAAATTTTCATCTATTAATAACCGTTCTAGGTCTGACGTTATGTAGAAACTTGGCGTACTAATAACATAATATTCTCGAGATGAAAAATATGTATATAAATCGTAAGAAAGTTTTCTGTTCCATAACGTTTTAGAAGATACAAACGTTATGCATTAAATCAAGATTTTTAAAAAAGATTTAGATGGATAAAAGCATTTTAAGTTATAAAATTCATATTAAAAGTTATAACTTCTGCGGCATGAAATAGCTTAACCGTGCCGTGTTACCTAACGGTCAGCCAAAGAAGTTACTTAAACACTTTGCAAGTTATAGCCCCTGATATTGTTTAACTATTAATACAACCTACAGTTTTCAAATGTAAAATCAACGCAAAACTTCATTAGCTACTCTCAGTGGATTTTACAAAAGGCTTAAACCGATAACATAAACTAAAATCAGTTTTTCTGGTACAAAAAACCTACAAGTTACTGGTTCGGATTGAGCCCAATTAATGACCATTTGATTAGTTAGACCGGGTTAGATCTCAGGCGAACGGGCTGGTTGCATGGTTAGTTTTCGCGGTTTTCTCTATATGTAACGTAAATACAAGCCTATTTCCCTAAGAAAGTTCTTTAAGAAGGCATCCCTTTCCTCAGGCAGAGAGCCCTCGAGTGCTCTTCCCTATTTAAATGACCTAACCTAACGGCAGCAACGCGGTTAAGCTCCTACGGGATCACAGTTAGGATTAATATTCTACGTATAAACTATACTAGTCGCCATTAATTTGGATAAATATTCTGATCTGAGAGAGTATCGTGGCAAAACAAGAAGAAAAAGATAGAATTTAACGCAAAACTAGTCGTTAGTAAAACTTAGGAATAAATGCTATAAGGTGATTGCGAAAGTAAATATTTTGGATATACTTTTTTATTTTATGAAATTTTTGAAACATGAATTAAGAACTTGTGCTTCTAGTTCTTTAAATGCATTATCATAAAAAACGTAGACCGTTCTTTTTTCTGACTCTTAATACATATCTACAAGATCACATGATCATTTAATCACATCTGATCTATCTGATCCTTAATACATGTCTAGCCTTCTAATAGCTACAAGTCTTTCAGATATTTGATATAACTGACAGAACAAATTAAATTGAATTCTCAGAATGAGAAGAAGATGAATAAACAGCTGGAAAGTTTCTTATACCACGAATTAATAGATTCAAATGTTACATAATTGAAATAAAAATCTCGGTGCTTCACTGTTAAAGTTGTCTCTGCGTAAGGGGCCTTTGACCTTCTTTGAAATTCGCACGTTACAAATTGCGTGATGAAGTTTGCCAGTTTTGGTGACTAAGCATAGTGACAGCTTTATGATGGAAGTGCCGATAAAATGTCTTAAAATTTTGTGCCCACTAATGGCCGACCGGCCGAGCGGTAAGTCGCTGAACATTGGCCGTTTGGCCCGGGGTTCGAATCCCGGCGAACAGGCTGGCTGCAAAAATTGTTTTCATGGTTTTTTATGGCGTTTTCTTTTCAATTTGAGAGGTAGTCGTCAATGTTTAATTAAGTGGTTATATCATAACAATAGGGAAAATAATTCGTACGGTTCCAACTGTCAATGGCAAGAGCTGTAAACACAGGCAAACAACTTATTGCCCTTTCTTTATTCTGATGGCTGCACAATAGAAAAAAGATGTAATAGAACAGATAACACAACTTTGCAATTTTTGGAAAATTCAGAATAAATGTTCAAATCAAATTAAACTATTAAATACAAAATAATACTCGCCTACGAAGCCTTGGCTTGGCCTTCATTATTTCACGATGCATTTGCGGCTAGGAGAGTTAAAGTCGATAAAAGAATTTAGTAGCAAGGATTTTTAACAGAATAACCGGCTAGCGATAGCTGTCAAAGGGCTAATCTCTCTATATCAAAAACTCTGCTCTACAAGTTTTCACTTTTCAAAATAGCATCTCCATCTGCATAACTTCGCTACTCACAATTCCAAAAAATAATCACTTTGCGTCGATGAAACTTGACACATTGTTTTCAGAATAATAAGTATTAGACAGCTTTATTTATCCTTAATATAAGCAAACTTAAATCTTTCCTGATTTAATCTACATAGTAGGTTACGAAATTTTAACAAAGAACAATAACTGAAATAATTTTACAAGAAAGCAACTGGAATAAAATACTTTTAAAATTTATCAAACTTATTTCTAAATAGAAAGGTAATTGACTGAAAATAACATCACGCTAAAATTTTTTATATCAAATAAATTCTGTTGCCTATTGTTAATAGAAACATAATGACTTAAAACAACGTATAAGGTTCGCAGACGATTTTCAGTTTCAGCAGTTTTAATTTCTTCTGTAGCTAAATTAAGTCAAGTTATCTGCATGCGATTCTGCATCAAACGTAAACTTAACATCTATTATCAGAATTTGTACTATAATTTAAAAAAAATTCTTCCATCCGATAAAGTGCATCTAACTTTTAATTCGTTCAATTTTAACACGCTCTTATTACCACTTAGTTACTTTAGCAATATACGCAGATTCGTGTTCTTTTCTTTAGGAAAGGCATTAACTTACTCTTGCATGTAAAAAAATATTTCATATATATATATAAAGAGATATATTACTTACTCCAGGCATTACGACCTTCTCCACATCGGCGAGGATATTACGCCAAGGCTCCGGCTCCTCTGGAGGAGAACTCGGCAAGAGTTGCTTGATGTAACCGGGCTGCACGTCCGGCAGAACCGGCCGATCTCTGATCGTATCCATGTAATCGGCTACCAGATCAACCATCTCCTTAGCGTAACGCCGGAACTCCTTGGAATCCATATTTCTTTCTCAACGTGGCCTTGATATCCAATGCAAACCTGACAAGAAAATGTATGAAATTACATCGAAGTGTTTTAAGTTTTATATCGCGTAGTTGATTCCAAAGTTGAGATTACAGGCCAAAATAAAGTGCTGGGAATTAAATGAAGATAAGAGGAAAACATTCGATAAACGAAGCGTCAAAGACAAAGAGATTTTTAAAACAGCTAGATAACAATCAGTATCTCTGAATAAGCTTCAGTTACAAATCACGAGTTTGATTGACCGATTCTTATTTTGTACAATGTAAATTTTTCATAATCGTATAGTTTTTCTTAATTAATTAAAAAAAATTTTAGATTTACAACTGATATCCAGCAGAGACTGGAAGTTTTGTTTTTATAGTCTTAATTCCTAGCCTTTTTGAAGCTAAAAGGTATTTCTTACTGTCAGGTTTGTGTAAATTAAATCACATCATTAATTTTTATTCACCACTTATTTCTATAATTATATCTACAGATTGTCTATATTTATTTATTTATATAACTTAAAGAGAAAATAAAATTAAAAGACACCAAGAAATAATTAAATACTTATTGTTTGTAACTCGGCAAATTTTTTTCTCCAATACTTGCCGAAACTGTGATAAGCTGTTATCGAGTTCACACGAAGCAGATCGAGTTCAAATGGCAGTCATTAACTAAAAAGCAATACATCAGCTGTGGTTATGGGAAATTCAGTCACCTTTAGGTACTTTAAATCTGAGTTTAAGAACGTCTTAATTCATTGCGTTGAACGATGGGTGACTATGATTCTAGAAACTAGTTAAAATATCAGCAAAGAAATCGATTAAGAACATGATATTCTGAGAACACAACAAAGCGAACTTTGATTTGGAACTCTAATTTCAAGTGGAATTTTTTCGAACGCATTGCTTGAATTTTAATTTTAATTTTTAGTTAAATCTACACTTTTCTTTTCTGTGTAGATATTCTCAAGCATGGAAAGAAAGAATGATTCTGGAGCAAAAGGAAACAATCTTATGCAAATATTATTACCGTTAAGACACGAGATAAGAGATAGAAGGTTAACAGAAAGGTCAAGAATTTTATCATGAGTCTACTATGTTATGTTGTAGATACAGCACCATAGCACAACAGTAGACTTATAATATTTTCATTAGTCCCCTAATTAAATCATTCAGCAAAATCAAATTCATTATAAAAGTAATTTCCTTATTCTCATAGTTGTTTTATTACAAAATCGTTAATTTTAAAATAATTTCATTATTCTCATAATTTATATAGCAAGATTGAAAATAAATTAGTTTTAAAACATTCCCAATATTATCCTATAAAAAGGAATAATAATATTTATTTAAAAAATATCCCCTTATGAATAAGTTATAAATATATCCTTATCTACATACTCCTAATTAAAATATCCGTACACAAAAATTACTTATAATAAAAATATCTCTATATTTTCATCAAAATTTTTCAATTAAATTACAGGAAACTGAAAGCTGGTGCATTAGTCTATATTGTATACTGAATTTCTTTCAAATTTCTGTTTGCCTAAGTTATGTTTAAAAGAAAACTTTAAAATCTAAGCCAATTTAAAGCTATTTATGTGTTATATATATACATATGTGTGTGTGTGTGTTAATTTCATGTAGTAAGTCCACGTTAATTATCAATAAAATTTAAAATAGGGAGAAGATAAGAGATACTGCACCCAGAATATGTTATATTTTAAAGTCTTACGAAACCTTAACATACACCAACGTGTATTTTATTGCTAAGAAAAAAAAGAATTAATCAAGCTTGAAAATTGAAAATATGATCTGTTATGACTCTGAAAAAATTTTACACATTCCTTGAAATCTATCATAGAATTTTTTTTCTAATTAAAATACAAAGCTTTTTAGAAGAAATTCATATTTTCTTTTCGATACTTGTTTTTTCTTTTTTGCTCAATAAGCATTTAGAAAACTTCAAAGATTTCTCTTTAAATAATCCTTCTATAGATATTATGAACACAATGAAAATAATCCGCTTTGAAAAAGCCACTGCAAAATTTCCCTTTGTTTTTAATTAAAAAAAGTATATTCGTTTTTTTATTCCTGAAAGCTTACAGAGCATATTAATCTTTCTAACTGTTCCTTGACAAATTTTTGTTTTAAATTTTTGGTAAACAGTTTTTTTAGATCGCAAGTGTGCAAGTAACGGGCCTGACTACGAGTTTTTTCAAGTTTCTTTCTCCTTTAAGAACTCCACGTCTTTAAAAATGTTTTCCTTTTGAATTGTTTTATGATAGAACCTAATTGTATTTGTTGTTAGCCAGCCATGAAAGCGCTGCTTAGGGTATAAACTTTAATCTTAAGCAAAATAAATCTTGAGAAGTTTCACTTTTGTAACAGTTTTAATAGCAATATTTGATGATTGATTACAAAAAAGCTTGTGCCTACATATATAAAAAGTCTACCAATAGAAGGCAGCAAAGAATGCATAAATGCAATGCAATATGAATAGCAAATATGGTGATTTATCTCTGGAAATATCCCTCCTAAAACAAGCATCTTCGACAGTCTCCAATGTTTCTGAAAATATAAATAGTCGTCGGTATTGAACTGAAACTAAACTTTGCTGAAATGACCACCTTCGCTAGCAGAATAATTTGCAGCCGTGCGTGGTCACGTAAAGCAGTGGTTCCAAACTGGACGCTTTCGAAGCAATTTTATGCGGCCCGCGAACATACTTCCCATAAATTAAATATCATTATTATGACATTAATTCTTAGTACAAGAATTTAATATAAGGTGTGAGATTTTAATAATTTTCAGTTTATATTGGCCTAGTTATTACATGAGTAATAATTACTTTTTAATTTCAAGTGTTTTATATTTTTGCATGTGTTTAATTATTTCATAAAATTAACTTTAACGTTTTGTTAATATTTATATTTCTTTTATGTTTAGTGGCAACAAGTAATTATTCATATTTATATTTCTTTTACGCTGAATGGCAACGAGTAGTGATTCACGTTTACTTTGGTTTTCGAATGATGTTATTCTAGTAGCAGCGCATTTTGATGAAAAATAAAGCTGTAAATAAATAAAGCAATTTTTTGTAATATTTCCTGTTCCTAATTATAATTTAGTTTAAACATTAGTAGCCAAGGCTACAAGTTCAGTTTTAAATTATTTTCATGACCATTTAAAAACGAGCCCGAGTTTTGCCACAGAAAAATCTTCAAATGGAGCTAAGTAATTTACATTGTCATATAACTGTTTTTCAAAGATTTGAAGATAGAGATTTTATAAACCTTTTTTCGTATTAATCAAAAGATAAATACCCCCAGTTACGAGTTTTTGCGATAAAAAACTTTCAAATCACTTTATTTGGGAATACATTTATATGTGTTAACTATTTTTTCCACAGCTAGAAATTAATAAGGCTGAAAAAAGAGAAACAGACTGACCGATGAGCATCTACAATTAGTAATAAAGATAGTTTTGGGCAATTTTTCTGTAAGGTTGTAGAGACATTAGGTAATTTTTGGAAGCAGGCAATATGAAAAATGAGCAATCGCCTTTGCCTGGAATAGAACCGCGGATCTCAGGAATACCGGCCCAATGTGCAAACCACTACACCATGAAGGCACGCTAGGAAGACGGGGGAAATACCTTATATATTCCCCCTTTTAAAGGAGGACTTGGGTTTTTAGGAGACCCAATCGCCAAATCCTGGGTGCGGAGAATCATCATGCAGCATTCTTTTAGAGTGTTGTACTTTACACCCTTTTACAGTATACCCTTGTAGAGTACACCCTTTTTGAGTAGTACACCCTTTTAGAGCGTTGTACTTAATGTCTCTACTGTTACCACTGTAGAGACATTAAGTAATTTTTGGAAGCAGGCAAGATAAAAAATGAGCAATCGCCTTCGCCGGGAATCGAACCGCGGACCTCTGGAATACCGGCACAGTGTGCAAACCACTATACCACGAAGGCACGGTAGGAAGGTGGAAGACATACCTTATAAGGTTACATATTTTATCAAAATCGAAAAGCTATGAACATTATAGCTGTAATCTGCAGTAAGGAATATAGAAGTTTGTAATTATTTACATACAAATATATGTATTTGTTCTGTATGCATCATAGAAAAACTTAATGAATAAAAAAAGGATAATAGGTTGTCATTATTTTTTCTCAAATTATCGCAATTTGTTCATTTTTAGTTGAAAATTTAGTTTAAAGTTATTTTGCGATTAATTTAACGTATTACAATTATTTTAAATAAGTTTCAGTCTGAAAATTTAATATTTGCTATCCGTATGTTTGAATTACAAAGTGTAGCCAACTGAAATTTTTTGAAGATACCAACCTTTACATTTGAAACAGAACTAAATATACATTAGAATTTTCTCCTTTACGTCGTAGGCAGATAGCCCTCAAGGCTTTGCCATAATCACACACACACACACACACTCCTTTACGTCGTTATTGTTACTATTTATAGTATATATTTGTTAACTATGTAGTAAATAAAATTTAAAATTTATTTAAATTCATTAAAAAACTTTTAATTTTTCCATTTGGGTTAAAAAAATTCGACATAGTCAGCTGCTTCAGACCGGCTCGAGTGCAATTTGAATTTGAGACCTCTAATATAGAGCATTCTATCAACGTTTGTGTGATTCAATATTTGGCATGAAAGATTCCGATTACAAAGATTCATTAATGCTGCAAACCTGAGTATCTAATAATGAACATTGCTGGCTCGAAAATATGCGATCTTAGAGCCTCCTTGAACAGAGACTACATGGAGAAAAAAATTGGATTTTTAATCGAATTATTAAACGTAGTTTCAATTGCCGGAAATTTTATTCAAAAGTTAATTTACGAAACGCGTGAAAACTAAACAATGTTATTTTTAGCTTTACTAAAATATATCTTTGCTTTTATTAAGATCTCCCTCTTTATACACATAATTTTTACACATTGCGTTAAGGATCGTAACTTTTTCCGAGGTTCTATTTGTGTTCAATTTTTCTGAAATCAGTATAAAATCCATAATTTTATTAATTTATTAGCATAGATAATTATAA